CAATCCAACAGTTTGAAATATGGAATCCTAAATTCTTATAACAAATTTGAATATTAATAAAAGGATAGAATATTTTTTCTATTTCAAACACCCCCTGCACTTTTCTTGCTTTCTTGGAATGACATGGTTGCAAAAGGATACACCCTTACCATCCCACATTATCCTCGTCAGAACCTATAACAGTTATCACAAACAGATAAGCAAAGATTGGTTGACTATAAAGCTTTTTTTAAAAAAAAAATTTAGGGCATCATGCATGCTGTGCAAGAATTCTACCATTAAGCCACTTTCCCAGACTGACTATTAAAGCTTTTAATGAGAACTTCATAACCTATTTTTCTCTCTTCTAAATAAAGCAAAGGTCTAGTAGGAAGAGAGACACTCAGTAAATGTCATTTAAAATTAATCCTCCTGAAGCATTGTCTGGGTACTGACAAATGTCAGGCAGATCGATGAGGTAAGCGCAGTGAGGAATCTGCAGACATCACTACCCTGAGATATGACCTAGGGTCAAGAGTAGACAAGAGGAGTCAACATTCAGCCAAAGCACTGCTTATAAAAAACTTCATCTTTACTAAGTGGGTAAAAGAAAAAAAATCCTTCACATCAGAAAGAAGCAGGCAATGATAAAGATAAAATGTAATCAATGAGAAAAAACTGATACACATGAACTTTACGTCATAATACTATGCTGTAGAATGAAAAACCAAATATGTAATATTGGAATCAAAATGTTTACATTACTTTTTGAAACTTTCCAGTAAACCATTAAAATTTCTTCCTCCAACTGTAGTGAACTTAGAGCTTATAAAATCACATGTACACAAGTGTATGTACACAATTCATGAACGTAAATGTGTTTTCATTACATAAACACAAATACAAAGGAATAAAAATACACAGGAATAAAATATAATCTTACAAACAGACCTCTCGAGAGAAATAAAAATACCATCTTTGGAAGCTGCGCTATCATGTTTCATACAGAAACCAAACAATATTAATGTAGACATATTTTTTGCAATTTTGGTTTACAAAAACTCACCGAAATAAGTATTTAAAGGGGATTTGGACAAGACATAGATATATAAATTAGTGGCAGAATGGCTTGTCTAATAAGCTCAAGGCCTAATCTTCATACCACAGTATAATCTACAGGTATCAACAACAACACAATAAATTGGACTTTATGAAAAACAAATGAGAATGTACAAGCTTGGACATATATAAAGGCAAATAAGAAAAAAATACTATCTTCATTGTTCATGTCACAATAAACCTATGAGATCAGCCGTGATGTGTGATGACATGATTATCACACAACTCTGATCCAGGCACACTGATCACTGTAGTTAGAATTAACCGTTTCTGAAGATGAGCAGTTAAATGTCCTAATTTGGGCTGGCATTGTAGCTTAGTGGTGGAGAAATTGCTTACCATGTGAAAGAGCTGTGGTTTGATCCCCAATACCAAACACTATCACACACACACACACACACATACACACACACACAGAGACACACACACACACAATAAATATTATTTTGTGTACATAGAGAAAAATTATTCCATGACTGAAATGTTTATTTTTCTTATTGTACACCTATTCAGGTTTTAAAAATATGACCTGTGAGTTTTCTCCATAGAGATTAAGCTCCAAGCATACCTAAAACACAATTCCTACCACTATTAAAAAATAAAGACTATGAACTTCCATACTACTTTCCAAAGTGGTTGAACAAGTTTACACTCCCAACAACGCAGTAGGGTTCCCTTCTGTCCACATCCCCTCCAGCATCTGTTGTTACTGGAGTTCTTGATTATAGCCATTCTAACTGGGGTGAGGTAGTATCTCAGTGTTGTTTTGATTTGCATAGTATGGAGATTCCTCAAAAGACTCCACATGGAAGCCCCTATGACCCAGCAATCCCACTTTTGGGCATTTACCCAAATGATCACAAACAAGACCATACTAACACTACCAGTACAACTATGTTTATTGCAGCGTTATTTACCATAGCTAAGATGGAACCAACCCAGATGCCTCTCAGTAAATGAATGGATCAAGAAAATGTGGTATATATACACAATGGAATTCAATGCCTCCATCAGAAAGAATGACATTGCCCCATGTCTTAGGAAATGCAAAGACTTGGAAAAATGATATGAAGTGAAGTAAGCCAGACCCAAAGAAACATAAGTCCCATGGTTTCCTTTATTTGCAATAACTAGTATATGTCTGAGACAAGCAGAAAAGGTCAGACAAGTTGATGTTAGGAAAAATGAACCCCAAGATTAAGACTCAGGTGGTTTTCTTTATTGCTATTGTTTCTAACATATTTATAAGATGATTTTTTTGTTGCTTTGTATGTCCCTCCCCCATGGTATAACCACTGTTTTCATTGTATTTGATGTTGGTATAATTTGTGGAAGGGAAGGGAATGCTAAGGGGAAACAAAGGAGGAGACAACAATCCTTGACAAGAAATGTACTCATGACCTTGCTCATGTATTTGTAACCCCTCTGTACAGTATTATCACAATAAAATTTATCAATAAAAGATAAAAACTATGGGTGAAACAGAAACACCAGATAGGCTTGTAATGCTAATCTCTGAAATAGGGTTTTCTGTAGTACATTAACTTAGATTTACTGAACTTCATTTTAAACAATTGGATTTTTGTTATTTTTTTAAATGAACAATCTCCAAACCCAGCTAGTTTAAAGTCTCCTTGTCATTTTCTGTGATAAGTGAAGAAAAATAATAAGTATTTATTTCAATGCCAGGATGAGGACTTATTCTTATAAAATAAAAGTGCAGTTCTAATAATGGGTTCAAATAATTATATTTCAGGTCAAAGGCAAATTTCACAGGTCCATAAAAGTGCAAAGCTTATAAGAACCCTAGGTAAGCTCAAAATGGAATCTGGTAGGTGGGTGAGTTTTAGGTAGCTATGTGGTTTACCAATTAAAAAAAATTCTTGTGATAAGCATAAAACTGCACAGTTCCTTGTACTTTTATTGGAAACATAAAACATAGAGTTTTCAGCAAAAGGAAAGGAAAATCTAAGGGAAAATGAAAATGTCAACTTTAATTTTTTCACATTCCTGCCAACCAATATAATAAGTACAAAGACAAAATACGATTAAAATGCACATGACTCCAGTGTTCAAGGAGTGTTAAGTGCTCTAGATTTAATTTATAAAGAATTTTAATTTTTTGGTGATCATGATTATACCACCCCATGATGCAGAAAGTATCACATCTGGATGGTTTAATAGAATGTAACACAAGATATTTCCCTTAACTACTATTTCGCTTAACAGATATTTCCCTTAAATTCACTGTTTATCTCTGATGTTGTTGTTTATAACATGTTCTTTTAGTTTTTATTGTGAAAGTGATGTACAGAGAATTTATAGTTATGTAAGTTAGGTAATGAGTAGATTTATTTTTGAGCAGTGTTACCCATTCCCACATTTCTTCTACTTCCCAAGGACTTTCCTCCCCACCAATTGTAAATTTCATTTCCAACATAGTTTCTAGTAAGTATCAGTGTTAAATTAGTTCACCATTTCTGTGATTCTCTTCCGCTTCCCAAATCATCAGATAAAGAAGAAAAAAAGAACAGATTAAGCAGCAAGGACAACAAACCAATGACAACAGGGAATAAATCAAAAGGGGAAGAAGAAAAAAAAAGAAATAACTGCAAGCAGTACAAAAACAACAAAACAAAACAAAACTCTTTCTTCTGTTTGTTAGAGTTAATTTTTCTAAGTGATCAAAGACCTCAATATAAGACCAGATACCCTGAAAATATTACAGGAAAGGATAGGGTTTCATGGCACAGGTCAAAACTTCCTAAGACCCAGAAACACAACAATTCAAAGAAAGGCTGAATAAATGGGACTGCAGAGTTTCTTCATGGCAAAGGACATATATATCAGGATAAATAACCAGAGATTGGGTGAAGATCTTTACTAGCTATACATAAGACAAGGGAATTTTATCTAAAATATATCTGGAACCCAAAACACTAAACCCCAAATGAAATAACCATCCATTAAGTGGGATAAATCTGGGTGCTAGTGGCTCACGCCTGTAATCCTAGCTACTCAGGAGGCTGAGATCTGAGGATCGTGGTTCAAAGCCAACCCCTGGCAGGAAAGTCCATGAGACTTTTATCTCCAATAAACCACTAGAAAACCAGGAGGGGAGCCTTTGCTCAAGTGGTAGAGCACTTGCCTTGAACTGAAGAGAGCAGGGACAGTGCAAGCCCCACGACTGACCAAAAAAAAAAGTGGGATAAAGATTTAGAGAGACTTCTCCAAAGAAGAAATAAGAAAGGCCAATAGACACATGAAGAAATGTTCAACATTTCTGGTGATAAAAGAAATGCAAATGAAAACAACATTGAGATTCCGTCTTACCCCAGTTAGAATGGTCATTAATCAAGAAAACTAATAATGACAGATGCAAGTAGGTATGTGGCCAAAAGAGACACTACTATATTGTTGGTGGGAATCAAAATGTGTTCAACCACTCTGGAAAGCAGTATGGTAGTTCATCAAAAATTAAATAAAGACCAATTTTATAAGCCAGCAATCCCACTCCTGGGCATTTACCAAAATGACCACAAACAAGGCCACACTACAGCTACAAGCACAAATATGTTCATTACATCATTATTTACCATAGATATGATGTGGAATCAACCCCCAAGACCCCTTACTGGATGAAATGGGTCAAGAAAAATGTGATATATATATATATATAATTAGCTTTTTTTTAATAAACAGTACCATAATCTCTGCTATAGAAAGCATGCCTCCCAAAAGTTTCCAAAGGAATATTAATAGTTTACTTACTGGCATAATTCACATGGTTCCTAATTTTGCAATTTGACACCCTATTTGGGTTTACTTTGTGGTCATCTATAATAAATTTTGAAGATGGCACACTAGTTGATATTATACTTCAAAGTATGATTTAAAGTTACCTTGCTTTTTACTCTGGCATCTGGAATCTTAGAAGCAATTGTTCTGGATGGCAGTAACATCTGAGAAGGATTTGATGTGATTAGACTCAAAGGAGGTGGTTGATCACGGAAAACAGATGACAAACAGAGTTGTACAGTCTCCTTCATGGCTTTCATCTGTGACTCCTAAAAAGAAGGGACACACAGAGAGAGGCTTTAACAACTTTAAGTATGGTTCTGCTTATCATTTTCAATTTCTATTCTCATGGTGTTTACTCTCTCACCACAAATTATATATATATATATATATATATATCAGTTTTCAAGTGTAATTGGATAATCTGTAAATCTCATGATAGCATATTATTTAATTCATTATCAGACTACTTTTAGAAACTAACATGTTTCATGTTATCATTTGAATACCAATACATTCATTTTGTGCTTCAGTTATTTTCCAGATCGGGTTTACAATTTTGCCCAGAGTTTGTCCTGTAAAGGTGACATACAGAGGAGTTACAGTGCTATCCACATAGCTGGTTTACAAACATTGGCCAACATGTAGATATCATTTGTTGAGATGTCCTCTAATCATTAAGTTCTTGATCTCTGCCTCCAGAGTAGCTGGGATTACAGACCTTAACACCGATGACTGGCCTTCAAGTGATACAATTTCAATCATGAAAAATTTCTGGAAAATAAACCTATTGTAGGTCACAATGAAGTAGATGTCCTTCTGAGACACTTATTGTCATTCTGTTGGCATGAGCTTCCCTTTGTGAATATGGCTTTCATATCAATGCAGCTCCTTGTGTTTCTCAGTTTATGCTATACTTCTCTTCCCAATATAATGAGAGGCAGACTTTTGTTTCTTAGAGAACTTATATCTTGTGGAAGTTATTTGGTAATAGAAGTTAGTCCAATGCAAGAATATTCATGTTTTTATATCACAATGCCCACACATTTTGCATGTGAACTAATTCTGTAAGTTTCAAAATATCTGAAACAGGCATTAGTATTACTATTTTATTCAAGAAAAGAGGAATAAAAATTTTAACATAGGAGAATTTCTGGCTTAGACCCCCCAAACAAGCAGAAAACCTAAGCAAACTTTTGCCAGGTTCCACTACTAAAGTAACTTGATAATTTCCAAAGTTGAAGACATGAAACTTTTGGGACAGCTAACTAGATATTCTTGTAGTAGTTCAGAGAAACTGAGGCAGGAACTACTGAACTGATCTGAATTAGAATTATTAAGAACATGAGATGTTGTCCTGGGCCCAACTACACAAGATAGGAGACAGCATAGTCTCTGGGTCAAGACCCAAGCTAATTAATATGCACTTCATCTTTATTAGTGTATGCTGGGCTCAGTGAAGCCACACCATCTGTTCCCATCTGTTTGACAAAACAAACTCTAAACAAACTACTGAGTTATGCAGCTTTCCTCTTTCCCTTCTAGGAACCTTTCATGTTCTATTGCTGGAGAATTGACTTACATCCACCCTAAAAGTTGCACATTCTGGTAAACATTTACCTACAAGATAGATTTCATGGAAACATACCAATATGAGAAAACACTTTCTATGGCCAAGTTGTGGTACTTTATAAATTGCCAAAAAAAATGAACAACTGAAATGAATTAGAAATAAGACCAGCATGCATTTTTTCTCATTATTCTTGCATTGTCAAATTGTCTAAAATGAAATAACATCTGAAAGTGACTGTGAGAAAGGAAAGCTGGCCAAAAAGAAATGAAGTTGAACAATGGTATGTAAGAGTTAACTGTTTTACCCAAAACGCCAACTTCGGCATTCTTTTTTTTCATTTTTTAAAATTTTTATTCATTTTTTATTGTGAAAATACTGTACAGAGGGGTTACAATTACATGGGCAAGATAATGAGCACATTTCTTATCAAGCATTGTAGCCTCCTCCTTTGTTTCCCCTTCCCATCCCTTCCCATCCTCCCCCCCCCCCCCCCCCGCCTCCCCACCCAATCCTCTTGCTTTAATACATTGATTTAAAACATACCTAATATGCATACTGGAATTTAGTACAAATCCTGGTATGTTAAAAGTGTCTCAACATTTTTTTTCAATAAATAAATTGAAAAGTCAACTGAAATTATTTTCAATGTCACTAAAGGAAGTTATCTCCAAAGTGAATAGGAAAGAATAGATCAAATATTTCTGTAGGCTATTTGCTAGAATCTTGACTGACTCTTCTAACATGAAGTCTACTAGGAAGTCAAGGCATCTGGAACAATCCAGATGTTTTCCTATTTGTGGAACAATCCAGATGTTTTTCCGTTTGTATACTAAAATGAGAGAGTGGAGAAAGACTAATGAAATACTCAAGGGAAGACTTAGCCAAGAACCTAACATCACATGACTTTGAAATACTGTTTTACAGTGTTTATCTCCTATAGGAGGCTTGTTTTGTACGTAAAAAATAGATTGTCTCTTTTAAATACCAAATATCTAAAAGGTTAGTTTATCTGTAGCTAGAGTATACAAATCTGCTAATTGGAGTAATGGTTAAACTCTGATGCTGAAAACAATAAATTCAATCACAATAGTAATTTGAAATATCAATTCTAAATAAAAACTGAATTCTTACAACTCCTTGTCTGCTATCATGTGATTCAACATATTCTGAACCTCTTATTTTGCATTTGCTTCCTTTGAGCCACATGCTTGTATCATGGCTTCTAATATATCATTTGAGTTTTGTGCCTTAACTATATATTGTAGATTTTTCCTTCCAAGACAATAGATTGCTATGAGCTGTTTTCTTATTTTTTCTTATTACCTAGCCCCATTAACTGCCTCTAAATTAGGAGAGGCTGTGGCTGCTCTTCCTCTGGTTTTGATGACAATTCCACGAGGAGGACCCCGACCATGTTATGAAACCACAATGGCATTATATTATAATTAATGAGGCTCAGGATAGGTGGTGTGGAAAGCTCCAGGCTAAATACTGTTCATTTTGAAGCTTGCTAGAACAAGATGTTCTTTAACAAATATGATGTAAACAATATTAGTGTACTTACCTTTAAATCCTAAAAGCTGTTCTCTCCTGAGATCATTGATGTTTTTGCTGTGTTTTTCTTTGCTGACAAGATCAATTTTCCAACTTGTTTTACCACATGCTAAGTAAATGAAACTCCATAACTAAAACACTATTTCTCAGAGTGAACTTCCTCAACAAGTAGTTATGTGGACATATAACACAATGTGCTTCCCTGCCTTATTGCATCTGTGGGTCTCATTTCCACAGCTAGCGGATCCTTACCCAAACATCCTTATCAAAATTTTCCATTCAACTCCTGGGTTTTTATGACTGATTACAAACCAGAATGCAGTAAAACCACCAGCACAATTATATTCATTGTAGCACTGTTCATTATAGCCAAAGTATAGAATCAGCTCAGATTCCCCGCAGTGGAAGAACGGATCAAGAAAATATGGCATATATACACTATGGGTATATACCCAAATATCCATTAGAAAGAACTATATAGTTCCATTTTCAAAAACAAAAAATGCAAAGATACAATTAAATGTTAAGTGAAGTAAGCCAGCCCCAGAGAGAAATGGATTTTATGTTCCCCCTATATATATATTCAGCTTATAAACCTACCAATAAATACATTGCATATTATGAAAATACATACAAAAGTATTAGCTTAAATATGGAAAATTCAAGGAAGAATTCCAATAGTGTAATTCCTTAAAAAAAGGTTAAATTTCAACAAAATAAACATCAGGAAGCAGGAAATTAGAAGAGGTGGGTTGGAGTCATAGGAATAGGAATAGATAAATAAGAGGAAAAAAGGCAGAGAATGCAGTCAGGAATCTACTGTTTATCCTATAACATTAATAAAATAAAGGAAGGGGTATGTAAGGGAGGGATGGGTGAGAATGTTGAAAGAGGTAGTGCTGGTCAAGAAACGATGGATTCATACTGTTTTGGTAAATGACAATTCCTTTATATAACTACTTAAAATAATAAAAAACAAAAACTGTCTCACATAGAACATGTTTTTGGAAAGAAATCTTGATCATCTTTTCTAATAATTAACTTTCCAAAATGTCTTACCAATTGTATAGCATCTAGTCCTATTTTTGTTTTTTATTATACATTGGACCCAGGGCTTAGAGATTGCTAGGAAGGTGTTTTATTGTTTGAGCTATATCTCCAGCTCTGTATTGTTTATTCTTAATGGAATAAAATGTCACAGAGTTGTTAACGTCTATGATGCATTCATAGACTCTAACTCAACAAGTACTTAATGTTAAGTGAAAAAATAAAGCTTTCAGAATATAAATGTATTTGCTTTAATTCTATGTACTAGAAAAATATAAGAAAATTATCTCAGATACTAAAAATATTTGCATGTGTACCATGTGCAACTAAGAGTTAATTATAAATAAACATATATAAACAGTGAAAGTAGGAAACTAGAAAAATATCATTTTAAGTATGCAACATTTAAATTTTTTATTTTATTTTAAAGATGCTGTACAGAGCGGTACAGTTATATGAGTAAGGTAATGAGTACATTTCTTGTCAAGCATTGTTACTCCCTCCTTTGTTGTTCTTCCACTATCCCTTCCCTATCCATCTTCCCCTCACCTCCCCCCTATGAAGGTGCAAAGTTCATTTCCAATATGGTGTCTTGTAGGTATTGTTGCAATGGGTCATCCTGTGTCCGCTTTTTTCAGCATTTTGTTATTCCCCTTCCCTCCCAATTAGACAAATGTATATACAAGAAACTTAACCCCCCCAACAACAAATCCTCAAAGAAACAACTGCCCAATAAATAAGTGGGCGAAAGACTTAAAGAGAAACTTCTCTGAAGAAGAAAGAAGGATGGCCAA